TGAAAGCATAAGAGTTAGTCAGGATTTATAAATGTATTATGGTTAATACTCTTTGTTTTCCCATTGCCTGCATGGCAAGCTCGGCGTGTTGAGTTCATTGGGACTGGAAGGAGGGGGAAGTTGGGCGGGCTGGGACCAATGTTCATAGGTCTACTGTCCGGAGTAAACAACTGTCATCAGGAGTTGGGCAATATGCAATCACAACCTGACGTCGGCGTCGGCCACGGCAACGAAAGCGCATGTATTCGCGTCTCATGAGAGCATAGCACTGGATTCACTAGCCAAATAGCTACTACATCGGCTGCTGCCTTCAGCCATTGGAGTAGGCCCTTAAAGAAGTTGGCTGGTGTCCGGTAAGCAATCTGAAAGGCTTTATTGGGGTCGACTCGGTCATTTTTGTCGACTAAGTGTGTGCGGATAAAACTCGAAATCGATCTAGTTCACTCTTAACCAGCCATGCATGCATATGTTAATGCACCCTCATTTCCAGGTCTTGCGGTTTTTGGCCGCTGTATCCGCTCCATAGGAGCAAGTGAGGGAGTAAATATACAATGAGTTGGCCATCAACTGAAGTCAGTCTTTACCTCCCAAACGTAGGAGGGAAGAGTTCTTAAAGAGTACGCGTAAGTGAAATAGTGGGTAAACCACTTGTGCTCGCTGTCTTCAGACGTCGGCTCATCGGATCGCTTGTTGCGCCACCTTAGAGTTGATTACAAATTCGTCTTGAGAGTTCTGACATCAGATTTAAATAGAGTGGGTTTTATTTTATTTCGTCCAGTTATTGGTACTTTTCTGAAAGTTCTCAGTTAACGCTAAATATGTGGTTTTCAGTTACAGCCTGATCCTCCTTTTTATGTAAAAGGAGAAACTAAAACAGACTCAAATAAAAACCAAGTGCTTTTGACACCCTCTCCAACATCTCTTAGTGTCTGGTATGAAAAACAGTATGTAGAAGAAATATGCTACCGAATGTATACGAGACCATCACTTTGGCATAAACTTCAGTTCACCTAGAGATAGATAAGCATTTCTAGTCGCTTAATATCTCCACCGTCTGGAACTTGGCCATCCCCTTATTGCTCATCTGCTTACCTCACTTCTGTTTACCTTTTTGAATTTGTCTTTGTATTAACCCCTTTCAAATGTTTGTCACGATTAACCCTAATTGGAAAGACGTGCAGCTGATCCGTGAAAGAGAATCACTACATGACGCAAGTTTAGGATTCCCATGCGAAAAAAATCATTAGTCTGAAACACAAGGTTATTAAAGGGCTCTGAGGGGTGCAGTATTCGTGGAATTTTTCCATCGTGTAGCCACATGCATGGATTTCGAGCCATTAATTTACTAGTATTCCCGATGAATTTACCTAATTGCAACGACAATTTTTAGGCCACCTTGTCGGAGTATTTTGTCCCCGAGCTTTCATGACTAGTTATAATACTATGCACCGCAGCTATTTGAAACTGCTGCCGCTCTTCATTGACGCCGCGGTCTTGGTGAAAGCATTTATTCTGCCAAGGAATC